CCCCAAAACTGGGAGGCCCCACCCCGCCCTTCAGTCCCTTCATTTACATACGGCTGCGCCGGGACCAATCAGCGCCCACGGCTGCGCCGCGTGTAGCCAATCAGAAGTGTTCATTCCAAGCACCGCCCATCGCGCCGGCGCGACCAATCATAGGAGAGGGCGGTGACCTTTATTTGCATACGGGGCTGAGGGGTGTGGCCGCGCTCATTTGCATACAGCGCGGGACTATTTGCACGGAGGGGCTTCATTTGCATAGAGCGGGGGTTCATTTGCATACAGGGCGCGCCCCTCGGTGGCCCCGGAGGCGGGGAACCCCCCAAAATCTCCTCAGGATCCCCAAAACCCTCCCAAAACCACCCCAGGACCCCCAAAATCCTCCTAAAACCACCCCAGGACCCCCAAAATCCCCCCGATCCCACAAAGGAGGTCCAGAAAAATCCAGGCTGGGAAAAGCACAGATTTAATCTCCTTGGGAATGGGGGGAGGGGGGGATCCCCCAATGCCTGGGATCATCCCGGGACGCGAATCCCAAAGGAATCCCCGAATTCCTGGGACGATCCCAGAGGGATCCCCGGTCCCCGGGATGATCCCGAGAAGATCCCAGGATGTGAATCCCAAAAGGATCCCCCAGTCCCTGGGATCATCCCGGGAACTCGATCCCGAGGAATCCCCCAAGCCCCGGGGTGGATCCCGGCTGGGGTGGATCCCGGCTGGGGTGGATCCCGGGGGTGGATCCCTACTCCTTGGGGTAGTGGCGGCTGACGTAGACGCTCTTCCCGTCGAACTCGTCGCTCCGGAGGCAGCGGAGCATGAAGTGTCCGAGATCCAGTGCCGAGATCTGCCGGGAGGATCCCGGCCCGCCGGCCACGCCCACCGATACCTCGTAATCCCCGGTGAGCGGCTGCTCCACTGGAACGGGATCACACCGGGAAAAACGGGATCACACCAGGAAAAACGGGATCACACCAGGAAAAACGGGATCACACGGAAAACGGGATTAGTGGAAATGCAGGATCAGCCAAAATCTGGGATCACCCGGAACGTCCTTCCCGCTTTTTCCCGGGTTTTCCCCTGGTTCTTTCCCATTTTTCCTCCTCTTTCCGCTCCCATTTCCCTCCCGATATTTCCCTTTCCTCAGATTTTTCCGCCCAATTTTCCACAATTTTTTTTCCCTCTTTATCCCCCAATTTTCCTCCAATTTTCCCCATTTTTCCCCCTTTTTCTCCAATTTTGTCCCTCATTTTTCCCCCATTTTTTCCCCAATATTTCTCCCCAATTTTGTCCCAATTTTCCCCCAATTTTTCCCCATTTTCCCCCCAATTTCCCCCCCATATCCCCCAATTTTGCCCCTCATTTTTCCCCCATTTTCCCCAATTTTGTCCCCCAATTTTTTTCCCCAATTCCCCCCAATTTCCCCCCATTTTCCCCCGTTTCCCGGGTACCGGCGATGTGCGGGGGCATGACGTAGACGCAGCGCAGCCCCGACTGCCGCAGGATCCGCTCCATGCGGGAATGATCCTCGGTCAGCGCCCGCAGCCGCTCGGGAACGCGCTCGGGCTCCCACAGCAGGAACGCTGAGGGGCGGGGCAGGGAGAATTCAGGGGGTTTTTAGGGAATTTATAGGGGATTTTTGGGGGATTTTTAGGGAATTTATAGGGGATTTTTAGGGAATTTATCAGTGATTTATGAGGGATTTTGGGGGGGATTTTTTTAGGATTTTTTGGGAATTTATGGGGGAATTTTTTGA